ATACCCGCGCTGGAGTCATTAGTTACACGATTGCCCAGACGCTTACAACGTACGTGGGCCGAAGTGGCGGATAGGATCGTATCCAATGGCGGACGGTACCGGTTTATCGACTTTTTGAAATGATAGAAGCAGAGTCGAGGATTCAGAACAGCCCTTTTGGAAGGCTAGTGGACACAAGGCGTTCACTGGAGGTTAATCGTCCCTGGGGCCCTCGGCGTAACACCCATATGAACGTCACTACAACTCACCACTACAACATAACTACATCACTACAACATCAGAGTCATTACAGAACTTTCAGTGCCCTTTGTGTCGGAAATCACATCCACTTACTAAATGTAAAGGTTTCCTCAAGTCGGATGTGGTGAAGAGACGGAAAACTGTGGAGAAATTAAAGCTTTGTTATCAGTGCATTAAATATGGACACCTGTCGCAGGCATGTGAAGAAAATGGTAAATGCTTGGTTGATGATTGCACCGGCAAGCATCATAGCCTGCTTCACTTGTCGCGTAGGGATCAAGTGTCCTCGAATGTGCAAGCAATCGTGGGGGATTCCTGTTCCGCGCCGAATGATATTACTTACCTCGGAATAGTCCCGGTAAAAATAATGCACGGCGACAAATCGTTGAAGGTATATGCCTTGCTAGATAACGGTTTGGATACCACAATAGTTAGTAAGGACGTTTCCGAACCATTAGGGCTAAGTGGCCCGGGAGTACGAATTAACGTTCACACCGTGACTGGAGAGCGACATATAGTTAGTCAAAGGGTACCATTCGAATTTTGCTCCCTTAGGGATGATAAAAGCATTAAGGTAAGCATTGCATACACCCAAGCCCATTGGGTGATTAGTGGTCAATACGGCGGGCCAAATGAGCTCTTTGCGATCGAAACTGCGTTGGGATAGTTGATTATGGGACCGTCCTTGAGCATACCAGCTTGCAAACTAATGTTTACAATTATTTGGGAGAGTAAAACTATCATTATGTTGGAGGATTTATACAACAAGGAGTTTGAAGAGCTGCATACGATGGCCATACATCACTCCGAGGAAGATCGTCGGGCATTACAAATAGGAGAGGAATCGATAAACCATGACGGAAAACGATTTAGCATCGGATTACCGTGGGAAACCAAATCAGAGACCATACCGAACAACTACGAGCTAGTGATCCGGAGGTTAGAATGCCTGAAACGCAGGTTTGTGCCAGATCCAAATGCATTTAATAGGTACAATAGTTTATTGAACGATCACTTTCGAAAGGGCTATTTCGACCGCGTACCTGACTGTCAACTGGAAGCTGCGTACAGACCTAGGTGGTACCTACCACATCATCCGGTTGTACACCCAAAGAAACCTGAAAAGGTTAGAATAGTCTTTGATTGTGCAGCCACCTATCAAGGAGTTTGTCTTAACCAACACTTATTGTCAGGACAAAATACCGTAGCTAACTTAGTTGTAGTACTGCTGCACTTTCGTTTAGACAAAGTAGCTGTAGCAGCAGACATACAAGAGATGTTTTTGCAGGTTAGATTGCCTGAACGTGACTCGGGGGCATAAAGGTTCTTATGGTGGCCTGATAGAGATCTCAATCAACAACCAAGGGAATATAGCATTTTAGTTCACTCATTTGATGCCACCTAGAAGCCATTTTGTGCGTGCTACGTCTTATGCCGAACGGTTGAATCATCCACAGACACAGGCAATGATCGAGTGAGATGTGCAATTGGACGATATTTTTACGTCGACAACTGTTTAGCATCGTTTGACGATACCGAACAAGCAATGCTTTTCGCGGATCAATTAAGAGTAGCGCTTAGCAAGGGAGGTTTTCGGCTATGCAACTGGTTGAGCAAATGAAGTGACACCATAAGCAATATTCCAGAGAGTGAAAGGGCGGTTAGTTGTGCACAGCGAAATATGAATCTAGATGCCCAAGAGCGCACTTTAGGCATGGAATGACTTATTGTTGACAATGCTTTCGTCTTCACGTTTGAATCAATCCAGAAGCCATTCACTAAAAGGGGACTACTATCGTATGTTGCTTCTCTGTATTACAATCTGGGTCTCGTTAATCCAATAATTCTGACGGGTAGAGTATTGTGACAAGCACTTCATCGCAAAACCCTTGGATGGGATGAGCTAGTAGATGAGACTGACCGGCGCACTTGGAAATCTTGGGTTAGTGAGGTCAAAAAATTGAAGGAACTAAAGGTGCCGAGGTGCATGGGGAGTGAAAACTAAAGAGCCCGTGAGTCAGGGCAAATGCACAAATTTAGTGATGCGTCTGAATCAGCTTACGGGGCCGCAGCCTACTTGAGGGACAGCATAAATGGTAATGTTGTATGTAACCTCGTTATGGCTAAATTTCGCTTGGCTCCACTTAAGGCAGTTACCATACCTAGACTAGAGCTGGCGGCTGCCTTTGTAGTGATTAAGTTATGTGATACCATAAACCGGGAGTTGGATATTTCAAAGGGGTCTATATTCTAATGGACTGATTCAACAATTGTGTTTTATTACATAAACAACAGATCAGCTCGTTATAGCACATATATAGCCAACCGATTGACTTTAATACATGAAAGCTCAACACCTCAGCAATGGTATCATGTAAAGGGAACAACTAATCCTGCAGACCACGGCACTCGCAGTCTGAAGGCGGACGACCAGAAGTGGGAAAGTTGGCTCCGGGGGTCGCCATTCCTGAGAAACTTAGAAGAGATCCCTCCATTCAAATTGGTCTCCACTGAAGAAGTCGAAGAGCAGATTGAGTTTAAGCGCACAGTGATTATCAACCAAACAACTGTCGCGATGAGCGTCAATCAACTTGCTTATCATTCGCAATGGTATAAGCTGTTATGAGCAACAGCTTGGTTGAGGCGTTTTACACAATATATCAACGTAATGTTTGGAAAGAAAGTTACGTTGTCACTGCGAGTGGGTAGACTTTCGATAGAGGAGATTGAGCTTTCATGCTACAATATTGTGCATCTAGTTAAAGCAGAATCGTTCTCAGACGATCAGGTTTTGCTATTGGACCCTAAGGGGTACGTGCACAAGGGTAGTCCCCTACGTAAATTGTGTCCAATTTTAGTAAATGGAATGCTTCGAGTTGGTGGTAGACTGCAGTACGCGCACTTGCCACATGACGCAAGACACCCAGCTATCCTGCCCCTAAGACACCATGTAACCGAAGTTCTGATACGTCACTTTCATGAGAAGAAAGGCCATTCAGGGCCCGAGGACGTGTTAGTTGAAATTAGGAGGCGGTTCTGGATAACCAAAGGTGGTGCAGCATAAAAGAGAGTTCTGAGCAAATGCATTCACTGTCGTAGGCAACTGGGTAGGCCAGGGTGTCAGCTAATGGCTTCATTGCCTATAACCAGAATGAGTAGCCAATAGCCACCATTCCACTCGGTTGGTCTAGACTATTTCGGACCATTTTATATGAAGCGGGGTTGGTCCATGGAGAAAATATACGGATGTATCTTCACCTACATGACCATGATAGCAGTACATCTAGATTTAGCGCACTAATACTGAACGGAATCATTCATCATGGTCCTGGACCGTTTTATAGCTCGCAGAGGCAAATCAGAACACATATTCAGTGACAATGGATCGAATTTTGTCGGAGCGACTAATGAACTACGGGCTTGTTTGCGATCTTGGTCTCGGGATAAAATACATAACCATTTCCTTAAGGACGCGGTACAGTGGCACTTCAACCATCTTAACGCCAGCCACAGAGGCGGAGTTTGGGAAGGGCTGATTAAGAGAATACTGACGACACTTCTCAGTGCAAAACAGGTGACGGACGAAGTGGTACTGATGGCGCTGGTAGAGGTCGAACGGATAATGAATAATAGACCGCTCGTTTCGCAATCAGTCGATCCGTGAACTAAAAAAGGCACTCACGCCACAGATGTCGGTTACTATAGTGCGGTGCGATTCGAGTTCTGATGTGAAAACCTCACTGGATCGTTTTAATCGTAGATATCGAGAAGTGCAGGATATTGCAAAATTGCTTCCGAAAGCGATGGACCAGGGAATACTTGCCATTACTTCAAATCAAATCCAAGTGGTATTTTAGACAGAGGGACTTTCAACCGGGAGATTTAGTAACAGTGGTAAAGGAAAGCAAACCCAGGAATGAGTGGCCTTTGAGTCTTATACAAGAACCAGAAGAAGCAATGATGGAATTGTGAGAGAAATGGAGGTAAAAATCACTAGTGGATCGTTCAGAAGAGACGTCAGAAATATCTGCCTTTAGAAGGGGTCCTGGACAATGTTCCCGGTGATGAGCTTGTAATTAATTGACTCCAGGAAATGATACGTCTATTTCCTTATTGTATTTTGCGATCCTTCCCTTTTTTCCGCTTACTGAGACGAAGTGTTCAATTCTTTATCACTGGCGCTTAGCATAAAACCTTCGGTCTCCATTTGTTTTTACTCTTCACGTTCATCCCCAATATGCTTCCCTCATTTTATCTCTATCTCTCTAAGAATTTCGATACTTCAAAACCAACACTCTCTGTAACATCATACGCTTGACAATCGACAAAAAACAATCCAGAATGTTCGGCTATTCAAGTTGACTGAAACATTTAAGCAAAATTATGATGCTTTGACACTTTAACAAGAAACAGCGAATTCACGAACTTATTCATCAGTTATTAATTTGGAAATGAATATCTCGGAGCGAAACGGGTCACAATTGAACATATTCCGCTAATGAACATTTGGGTTCATTGGCAACCTACTCTATACGGAGCACTTTGGGTTCATTGGTAACCTAATCGACACGGAGCACTTGGGTTCCATATTCGGCGAATGAACATTCGGGTTTCTCATCCCCCAATCTACTCGAACTTGATTGACGGACTCACAAATATTACTGATGTCATACACAATACCGGCTTGCGAAACGCGCATATGAAGCGTCACGGAGTCAAACCGTTTTCTGGTCGTTCAGATTGAATTACCATGAAGCAATAACTAAACCCAAACCCTGGAGCAATCTCATTTTCATTCGTTAGTCAGACGTTTTCTTATGAATCACGGTTATTGAACATTTATTGTTGTATTATGTTTTATGCTTCATCTTAAACTTTCTATTACTCTTAGCGTCACTGATTGGGAGCTACACTACCCGGCAAAAAGCTAGCTGCACAGGTTGATGGCTTAGGTCGCCATCAATCCCGGTAAACATGAATGCATGACCAGGTTGATTGCAGTATCAGTCTCGAAAAGAGATGGAGAACATCGTGCCTAATCAACATCCAAGGGGTATTTAGCTACGATCAACATCACAGTTGTAATCACCACAGATTACCATCAACGACTGCATGTTGTGGTCACCAGCGGCGTGACTAGCTTTCTACAAAAAAAATTAAAGAAAAGGAAAACACCATTTTCGCCAAAACCCAGCTCCACCGATAGATATGCTTGATCGATTTCATATCATGATAATGTTCTAATTGAAATCGTCCACGTCTGACGAGCGATAGTGCCTGATTCCTTTACACCCCGGCCAGTCGAGGCATTCGACCGATTTTTGTGAATTCTTACTCCGACCGATGTATTTTCCTCCGGTCTCTAGTACCATCGTCAGGCTTGATGGTCTAACCATGTATTCTACAACAGACGGCGTTTGAACAATGAGGTACAAGCAACTATCCATTAGACGTCTACAAAACATGGCACAACGTGGTACTCAAAAGCAGTTATTCAAATGTCAATTGGAAATATTCCGTTTGAAATTTATGCAGAAAACGACAAGGAAACGCTGTGCAATTTGCGGGTGGTGTGACAGCTTTCAAAAGCTTTTGTACACTTTTCTACTTTTCTAAGTCCATTATCTTCCTTTTCTTATCCCTTCTTTTTCTTTTATGAACTCGACATTTAACAGTTGTTTTACCCGGCCTCCTCATTACCCGCTAGGTATCTTTGCGGTCTCGCTCCGTGGTTTTCTCAATTGTTTGTCGTTCTATAACTGGGACCTACGACGGTTTCGTAAGTCGCGAATATGCATTGATGTGTGCCTTTAATGGAAACGAAATGTCAACTGTCGTTCAACTGTTTTCCTACGTGCTGGAAATTCGGTCAGTCGAGGTCGAGACATTGCGATTCGTATTGAACGTTGTTCGCATTTCCGTTACACTAACTGAGGTCTAACTATGGTCCTATACAGAGGCACAAATATCTCTGCCCTCCTCGACGATAGAGCTGCCTTCAGCTGGAAGAGTTGCTCGCTCGCGTTTTGTGCGGCCGCTATGCAATGATAGTGGGGCTTTAAGTACTCGCGGACCAAAATTCCTAGATCCAGCATTTGGTCTACACTAGCAAAGGCTGTCGGTTCTGTGGTCGGAACCACTGGAACCGGAACTCCTGCGGTATTTAGAACGTGACACTTGGTAGCTTTTATCTCCACGTCCCACTTTTGTGTCCACCGGACCATCTTAGCCAGATCATGCTCAGGCTGATCTACAGGTCCTGAGTTCACTAGTTTTACGTCGTCGTCAAAGAGTAAGACAGGAACCGCTAGCTCCTGGACCAAGTCATTTGTAAACAGCAGAAAGAGTATCCGGCCTAGCACTGAGCCCTGAGGCACTCCGCTGGATACTTTGCCAACGTTTGACAGAGCTTCTCCCAACCGAACTCTATAGGTCCGGTTGGTGAGGATACCTTCTATCCATCTAATTAGAGCTGTTGGAAGACCAAAACCCGTGAGTTTTATTGGCAGGAGCCGGTGATTTACCGAGTCCAAAGCTTTTCTGAGATTCAGATAGCACACTTCGACTTTCTGACCCCCATCAAACCTCTTTGTAACTTCATCTAAGAAACAAAGAAGTTTGCTCAGAGATGACCTCTTTTTGAGAAAGGCGTGCTGGGTAGGGCTAATCAAACTATGTCGAGTGACGTGCTCCCAGAGAGCATTCCTAGCAATGGTTTCTAAGCCCGTACACAGCACGCTGGTCAAGCTTACGGGTCTGTAGGTACCAGGTTGCTTCCTATCTCCACTCTTGTGGATATCTACCACTGTGGCAGTCGCCCAATCATTGGGTACACTCCCAGCCTTTAGGGACTCCTAATAGAGTGCGGTTATCGCGTAGGCGAGCACAGAAACCAGTGGTTTCATGACGGCCGGATGTAGCTCGTCGCTGCCAGCGGACTTGTTTACATTCAAGCCCTCCATGACATCAAGAACACAGTAATTCCCGAATACAGCAACGAGCGAAGCGTAGCCGAAATTGAATCCCAAAACGATAACAAAACGAACGATCCGGCAAATTTCCACGGTACTGCATTAATAAGCAATCAAATAAGCAAAGAAAAACTGTACAAACCTCAAAGTGATCTCAAACCAACTTGAAAACAAGAGCCAATTGTTACTGTGAGCGTCATTAAACAAATCTGAATGGAAGAAAATGAACCTGGGTAAGAATAGCACGCTTACCGTCACGCTGCACACGAACGAGCCGAATGTGAGCGCTCAAGTCGTAACTAAAACAAGTAGGGTAAAAATTGAAGCAGATAAACAAACAAAGTCAAATAGTAGGATTGATGTGTAAATATACAAGGGGAGTGGAACGTCAAATGTCTATATGTATATGAGGCGGATGGTGTTTGGTGAATGGAACGTAAAATTCACGAAATGTGGAACCGATATGGAATGACTGGGCTTTACAGGAAGGATTTTCACAGATCAATCAATACACCGCCCAGCAAAATCCTTCCTCGCGTCACACAGTGAAAGAGAAATTCAAGGGAGTACCAATTATTATCCTAACTACCTATTTCCTACAACCTTTGAGCCTTTATTTCGATCCTATCGTCGTTCTATCCGTCTCCGTCAACTCAGGAGGTTAGCCACAAACCGTTTTCCATGACTCACGGCGCCTCCGTCGCTCTCTCACGGGTGGCTCAGGAGGTTAACCATAAGTCGGTCTCCATGACTCACAGTGCCTCCTTCGCTAACTCGGAGGATTCCTCAGCTGCTTGGGTTCCCGGTCGATTCCGCTTCCTCTCCCCCGAGGTAGCAGATTTGGCAGCTATCTCGCAGGTTTGAGGTTGCTGTTCTCACTTTAACCGTGCGTACGAGCCCATCCTCGTCCGGAAGGCATTCTTCGATGATCGCCAGGGACCATTCATCTCGCCACAGCCGTTCATCTTTAAGCAGTGCTATGTCACCAACTCGAAAATTTCTTTCTCGGTGTAACCATTTCTGGCGTGCCTGTAGGGT